AACCCTCAACCTTGGTTACCGCCGGGAGCTCGTAGAGCTTCCTCGTGCAATACGGGCGCGGCAATCTCGCATTGCGCGCTCGTAGCAGACCGAATTCAGGCGTCCAGATACTTTAGACTAGCGCGTCTTGGCCGCGCATCTCGGGTCTGCCCGAGAAGCGGGTCGCGTAATTCGCGTGCGCTGAAGCGTGCGCGGCAGCGATGCAACAAAATCCGCGTGTAAGCGTGTGTGGCAGCATTCACAGCGTGCGTGGAAAGCTCTGGCGCCCGCGTGGCGCGACGCCACAAAGCGTGCGTACAGCGCTGCCACGCGCGCCTGGCACGTTTCCAGCGACGCTTCAACGCCTACTTGAATCGCTGCGAAGCGCGCTTGACGTGCTGCGAAGCGCGCCGGGGCGCGCCGCGTTCCGGCGACTCGCTGCGAGAATCGTTGCCTGGCAAGCGTTTGCGTCGGCCCAACCAGCCACAACGCCGGCTTTTTCTCTGAAACCCTTCGCAGCTCACAAGGAGCTATCGGGAAAAATCTTGACGGGAGTACCTCGTAGAGCTCATGGTTATCGATGGGCTAGAGGAATTCCGGCGCGGGGTGTAGCTCGACCCGACCAGAAAAGAAGATGTGACGACTTTGGGTCGGTTTTGCTAAGATTTGAACGATATTTTACAATTCACTCTGAGAAACCAGATTTTACTCCCAGCGTTAGTGACTAAACTTTGTTCTCAGAGTTGCTCAGCTCTCCCGAGGGAGTTTTACTATCAGTTGACTTCCGGGAACCGACCTCGTATTAACATCAAATAATGCAAAAATGAAGATTTTTATCAGAAAATCTTCATTTTAGTTCCTGCCTCGATGGGGGCCGGCGGTGCACCGTCAACCTTGGTTGCCGCCGGGAACTCGTAGAGCTTCCTTGTGCAATGCGGGCGCGGCAATCTCGCATTGCGCGCGCGGAGGCGCGGTCTCATGGAGGAGGATGTGGAGGAGAAGAAGGAGTGAGGGGAAAGCATCTCTGGCAAAAAAAAGAGAAGACATACCAGACCGAGTTCAGGCGTCTGGATACTTTGAGCTAGCGCGCCTGTTGAATTTCTTCCGTTTGCTGTGCCGAACAGCACTCTCGCTCAATTGCAGCTCGAGTTAAGTAAAGGGAACCATCCCTATTTCAAAAAAAAGAAGCAGAGTGCGAGTAGTTGTTCGGCCCCAGCGCTGATATCAGACCGAGTTCAGGGGTCTAACTAATTCAAAATATTGCGTCTGATGATTGCCGAACAGCTCTGAAGTCAAGAAAACCAATGCAATCTTCAAAAAATTGCAGCGTACAAGTAGTTTTTCGGCCACCGCGCTTTAGTTCTCTGCTTCGATTCTGAGCGCTCTTACGCGTGGAAGGAACTCTACGAGGTTCCCGGCGGTGACCAGGTTGACGGTTCACCGCCGGCGCCAGTGACTCGCAGAGCTTCCCTAGGAGCGTTGAAGACGAAGCTAGAGAGTAATGCCTCGGTGGGCCCCTCGACGAGATGAGCTTACGGAAATTCGGGCGCGGGGTGGCGCTAGTTGGCCGACCTGGCTGGAACGGTCAATTCCCAGATAGCTCCTTGTGAGCTGTGAAAAGTTTCAGAGAAGAAGCTGGCGTGGTGGCTGCTTGGGCCGGATGCAAACGATTGCCTGTCAACACTTCTCGCAGCGAGTCGCGGGAACTTGAAGCGCGTCCTGGCGCGCTTCGCAGCACGTCAACCGCGCTTCGCAGCGCCTCAGGCAGGCGCCGAAGCGTCGCTGGAAGCGTTTCAAGCGCACTTCGCGCGGTACGAACGCTTGATGGCGTTGCTCCACGCGTGCGCCAGAGTACCTCGTAGAGCTCTTCGTTATCGATGAGCTAGAGCAATTCCAGAAAAGACCGATGTGGTAACTTTGGCTCGGTTTTCCTCGTGGGGCTCTTCGTTATCGATGAGCTAGAGGAATTCCGGCGCGGGGTGGAGCTAGTACCTCGTGGAGCTCTTCGTTATCGATGAGCTAGAGCACTTCGAGCGCGGGGTGGAGCTAGTTGGTCGACCCGGCCAGAATGGACATTGTGACGACTTTGAATAGGTTTTGCTAAGACCCGAACAATATTTAACAAGTCCTTTTGAGAAACCAGATTTGTACTCACAGCATTAGTGTCTAAACTTTGTTCTGAGAGCAGCTCAGCTCTCCCGAGGGAGTTTGACTATCGGTTGACTTCCGGGAGCGGACGTCGTATTAACATCAAAAATGCAAAAATGAAGATTTATGAAAATCTTCATTTTAGTTCTCTGCTTTGATTCTGAGCACTCTTACGCGTGCAAGGAGCTCTACGAGGTTCCCGGCGGTGACCAGGTTGCTGCTGTCCCTCCTCGGGGATCTCAGCGGTGGCCTGGCCCGTCGGGGGCTTCCTCAAGCCCGTCTCCTCAGGCTGCCCCTTGGGCGGCCGTGTGCGCGCGGGCGGGCCGTGCAATAAATTCGGGTACTTCGTCGGCTGCGACGACCTTCTCTCCTCGGGCCTACAGACGATAGGTGCCAGGTTCTCTGTTGGTGCCAAGTGGGACAGCTCCTATCGGGGCAGGTGCATAGGCCGCTTGCTTTGATTGTACTGCCCATCTCCCTGTACATCTTGTCTCTCTTTGTTGGCCTCTCATATTCATTCCTTGTTGCGGTGTGGTTGGAGCTCTACTCTTACGCGTGCATGGAGCTCTACGAGGTTCTCTGCATTGTATCGGCGTGCCTGTTTTCATTCTTTCTTTGAATCGTATCGATCAGAATTCAAGATACTTGAGTGCGTTATCCGACATTCAGTTATGCAGGTGATTCAAGATACTGAGTGCGTTATCAGACATTCAGTTATCCGAGAGTTACTTTTATTTGCCAGAGACGATGATATCTCTTATCTCTACGCACATTTGTAAGTCAGTCTCCGCCTCGAGTGGAGATCAGAGTTCAAGATACTTGAGTGCGTTATCAGACATTCAGTTATCACACATTTGACGTGAGCATCAAAAAGTGGTGGGTGTCTTGCCTGACTCTGTATGCCGCCCGTTTTCCTGCTAGCGACTGGGCCAGACGGCCCGCACAGTCGACCGCAAATTCGTTGTTGTGTTTCACGTGCATGGTCTTTCAGTGGTGCTGAGACGGTAAACGCTATATGTGGTTACTGCATGGTCTCGCATTGCTTTGAAATGTAATCGTCATTTTAGTTGTTAGTTTTGTGTTTGTCTCAGTGGTGTTGAGACGGTAATCGCTGTATAAACCAGTGGTTACTGTATGGTCTCGCACTGCTTTTATTTTCAGTGGTGCTGAGACGGTAATCGCTATATGTGGTTACTGCATGGTCTTCGCATTGCTTTCAATCTTACAGTCTTTGAGTTGCATTCTCGTGTATTGTATACTTGTGCATTCCTGTACAGCTTCGCTGTTTGTGCACTTGTATTTTCTTTTCAGCTTCGCTGTGTATATCTGTACAGCTCCGCTGATTAGGTTTCTCTGTGTCCTGGCCTGCTCCCTTGGGAGCTCGAATCGGCCAGCGCAGACATCGCAGACCAGGTTGACGGTTCACCGCCGGCGCCAGTTGGTCGACCCGAGCAACTAAGTCGGTTTTGGGTCGGTTTTGCTAAGTTTTGAACGATATTGAACAATTTATTTTAAGAAATCATTTTTTTACCCCTAGGATTAGTATCTACATGTTCTGAGAGCAGCTCGGCTCTCCTGAGGGATTTTACTATCGGTTGACTTCCGGGAACCGACCTCGTATTAACATCAAAAAGTTCAAAAATGAAGATTTCAAGAAAATCTTCATTTTAGTTTTCTGCTTCGATGGGAGCCGGCGGTAAACCGTCAACCTTGGTTACCAGCTACAGAGCTACAGAGCTGTTCGGCACATCAATCGGAAGGCAATCGTCAGACGCGCTACTAGACACCTGGACTCGGTCTGCTATCAGCGCAGAAGCCGAACAACTATTCATACTCTGCTATTTTTCCGGAGATGAAATTGGTTTTCTTGATTTAACTCTGTCGCAGATGAGCAAGGAAGCTCTACGAGTCTCCCGGCGGTCTCCAAGGTTGACGGTTTACCGCCGGCGCCCAGTTGGTCGACCCGACCAGAAAAGAAGATGTGACGACTTTGGGTCGGTCTTGTTAAGATTTGAACGATAGTTAGCAATTCATTCTAAGAAACCAAATTTTTTCTCCCAGCATTAGTGTCTAAGCTTTGTTCTGAGAGCAGCTCAGCTCTCCCGAGGGAGTTGTACTATCGGTTAACTTCCGGGAACCGACCTCATATTAACATCAAAACAACAAAAATATATATTTTGAGAAAATCTGCATTTTCGTTCTCTGCTTTGATTCTGAGCATTCTTACGCGTGCAAGGAGCTCTACGAGGTCTCCGGTGGTGTGTTCTATATGTGTACAAGATTGAAAATATTAGAAATTCACGGTTTCACCAGGCAAAGGGCAACGCGCGATACCTGTGTTGAGGACATCCTGCAAGACCTCATTGTGGTGCAAGGGTGGCCTAGAACTCTGGGCGAACATGTTCATGCAAGTTTTTGGAAGGAGGATTTCAGCCAATGGACGTTGCAAGATACGCGCCGAATTCTCGGTTCAGTTGGGACATGCGTTGCTTCAGCAGATGTTGGAATGCGAGTCTCTTCCGCAGATGTTTGATTGCGAGTTTCTGGGCGTGCTTCAACAGATGTTGGAAGGCAAGTTTCCTGAGTTGAATTTCCAACCTCATGCCTTCATTGCACGTTTAACTTCATGAGTTCAGTGAGCTTCCAACTTATCAGTTCATTGCATATCCTTTTTGTTATTTGAGTGTTCTCCCTTCCTCTCCCCCGCTGTTTTGCCCCTGGGTTCGCTTTGGCTCTTTGGGCTCTTCCCGCTCCCCCGCTGGCTTTTCCCTCGGCTCCCCGCTCGCTGGCTCATTAGTGATTCGTGGCAGGCATCTGTAACTTATCATCCAATTCACATTTTGTATGCGTCTTTGTAATTGTGTTTCACGGGCATGGTGCACTGCAGTGGTGCTGAGACGGTATTCGCTTTGTGGTTACTGCATGGTCTTCGCACTGCTTTCAATCTTACAATCTTTGAGTTGCATTCTCGTGTATTGTATACTTGTGCATTCCTGTACAGCTTCGCTGTTTGTGCACTTGTACTTTCTTGTCAGCTTCGCTGTGTATATCTGTACAGCTCCGCTGATTCGGTTTCTCTGTGTCCTGGCCTGCTTCCATGGGAGCTCGAATCGGCCAGCGCAGACATCGCAGACCAGGTTGACGGTTCACCGTCGCCAGTTGCGAAGATTTGAAAGATATTCAACAATTGATTTTGAGGTATCAGATTTTCCGCACCTGTGAAAGACTATGAGGGCCTCTGCGTCTTAATAAAAGCTCCGTAGGCGCACTTTTCCAAAGAAAACACTTGGCGGAACCAACTTCATGTCGATATCAAAAACATCAATTTTGGACCTTTTTGAGAAATGCTTCCAGAAGCTCTCTCCCTTTGATTCCGCACTCTTACGCGTGCAAGGAGCTCTGCGAGGTTCCCGGCGAGGTTCTCTTAGTTTCGTGTTTTTCTCAGTGGTGTTGAGACGGTAATCGCTGTATAAACCAGTGGTTACTGTATGGTCTCTCACTGCTTCTAGCTTTGCTTCCATACCTATGGTCTGCATTGCTTCTCTCATTATTTTGTTAGTCGTTTTCTCGTGTACTTGCAGTCTTGTGCATATCTGTACAGCTTCGCTGTTTGAATGCATCTCTGCTTTAATCTTTGCAGCTTCGCTGTTTAGGTTCTCTGTGTCCTGGCCTGCTCTCCAGGGAGCCCGAATCGGCCAACGCAGACATCGCAGACATGATTGACGGTTCACCGCCGGCGCCAGTGTTCCACGCGCGCGTTGGGCGCTGCCGCGCACTATCACACGTGTGCTCTGGTCGCCATCGCACAGGCTGAAGTGTGGGCGGTTTACGCAGCGCGGGGCCGAGGACCCTGGCGCGTGCACGGTTCCGGGGCGAAGACCTCGGGTACGCGGCTCGGGGCGAGATGCTGGGCGCGTGCGCGGCCCCGGGGCGAAGACCCAGGGCTCCGACGTGAAAATGCATTTTTTGAAGAATTCAATATTTTCTGAAACATTCAGACATTTGGCGATTCGTGTAGGAATGCATTTTCTTTGCAGCTGGAATAGTTCCCGTTTCTTTCGCTTGGAATTCCGAGGTCCCTAGCTGCTGTATTCAAAAATACTTGTGCAGCGGACTTTCATTAGAATCCCGGAAACGATGTCCTCTAGTGTTCAAGCTGGTATTCCAGGGAGCTTACTGTTTGCAGTGACAGCGCTGTTATGTGTGTGCAGAGCTCTGCTGGGCCCCCGGCGGTAGACTGGTTGGCGGTTTACGGCCAGCACCCAGTTCGGGCGCGGGGTGGAGCTAGGACCGACTTGGCCAGGGCGACAATGTGATGACCTGGGGTCGATTGGGCAAACATTCCAAGAGATTTGACAATTGGTTTTGATAACCAGGATTTTTCGCACCTGTAGTACCTCGTAGAGCTCTTCGCCGCGAGGAATTCTGGCCCGGGGTGAAGCGAGTTGACCGACCCAACCAGGGCGGACAATGTGATGATCTGGGGATTTCTTTTTTTGAATATCGTCAGAGCCAGTATTTTCTGCACCTGTATTAGGTTATGCCGCGCTCGCCAGTTAAATTTTTAGGTTCCTAGCTGCAGTATTATTGTCAAAACACTTGGGGGAAACTGACGTCGGATTGAAACCAAAAACCGTTTATTTCTCGAGCTTTCGAGCTGATATTCAATAAAGCTTTCTCTTTCCATTCCGAGCATTACTACGCGTTCTGAGCTCTACGAGGGCCCCGGCGGTAACGTGGTTGACGGTTTACCGCCGGCTCCCAGTTGGTTATGCCGCGCTCGCCAGTGAAAGTTTCAGGTCCCTAACTGCAATATTACTATCAAGACATTTGGGGGAACCGACGTTGGATGGAAACTATATGTAAAGATATCGAGTTTTCAAGCTGGTATTCAGGAAAGCTTTCTCCATGTATTCCGTGCGATACTACGCGTTCAAGGAGCTCCACGAGGGTTCGGGCGGTAACTTGGTTGACGTTTTACCGCTGGCTCCTGTTTTGGACAAGTGCAATGCAATGCCTGATATTTGTTGTGTGCACTTGTGAGCGCGTGCCGGGTTGGCCTCTCTCTGCAACGTCGTTCCATTCATTCCACGGCCTTCCTCCATTCGCGCGCGTCGCTTCGCTGCTGGTCTGGGAGTCTGGAGATGAACGCAAGGGCTGCATGGTGTCCGCGTCCGAATAATTGGTCACGGAGAAGTTCATGATGAAACCGTCGACGGGAGTCACTCCGCGAGACCGTCTCGTTCCACACCCAGGGCGTGTGCGGTGCTGGGGCTTCAGAGAGCTGCGCAAACAACGACAGCGAAATTTATCCAAGCGTCTTGTCTTTCTGCGGAGTCCAGCCAGGTCGAGTTTAGCGCGTGCAGCAACCTGCTGACAATGATAGAGTCGAGCGAGTGCAGCTTCCGAGATGTTGATCTTGGTGCCCGCTTCTATCATAAGGATGATACAGGACAAAACGCTCCATGCGTGCCCAATCATCCTAGCGAGCTGTTCCTTGAGCCGCCCATTGGCTTGGATGTTTGCGCGCCATTCACTTGGAAATTCTACCAGTGCAGGTCCATCCCATATCCAGCACCAGCGCGTGCTTCCACGTCGAGTAGCCCAAGACCATAGTGTCGTCTCGATAGAGCAGAACATTCAGGCCTCCGTTTTGAAATGCTCCCAAAGCGGCAAGCGATAGCGAACTCGTCGCGTCGTGGATGGCATCTGTCATGCTCCTCACGAAGAAAAGAAGTGATAGTAGGGCATCCTTGCGAGATGCCGCACATCTGCGGGCGCTGGCTGGACGTCTGGCTGGTATCGACAGCGTTGAATCTCTGGTCTGCGTAAGTGTGCTGAACAATTCTGATGGCTTGATGAGGCAGGTCCATTCGCCAGGGCGCAACCATGAGAGCGTCGACATTGATGGGGTCGAACGCGTTCTGCCAACCAAGAGCAACCATGCCAATTGTGCCATGCTTTTGAGCATGCGCATGATCGATGTGTCGCCGAACAGAGAAGATTGCGTCACTCGTGCACCGGCCTCGCTGGAAAGCGAAGCGCGTGCGAGTCGAGCGCCCTGCCCTGGCGCGTTCCAAACGTTTCAAGTGTATTGTAGCGAGCAATCTATACGTGACGCACACGTGGCTTTCGGGCCAGTAGTTGTCACAGTTCGACACGTCTTTTTTCTTGTCCAGGCTTGCGACGTTGTCCGCGTGCCAATCGTCTGGGGCAATTTCCTGAGTCGAACATTGGTTGCACAAGTCAGTGAGCCACTGCAGGCACTCCTCTGTGCTTCGACTGCTCGTCAGAAAGTATCTTTGGGGCCGCTTGCCTTCCGAGCCTTCAAACTTTTCGCTGCCCCGGCTATCTTCTCGATAGTAGTGTCGCCTTTTCTGTGTGAAGCGGCTTGCCTAGGTCTGGTCCTTCGACGAGTTCTGCAGGCCGTGCGCCCCATTGAATCGTTTCGAAGTGGTTGTCATCGTTCTTGCCTGTCTGTCTCTGTCGACCAGAACTTCATCGGGAGCTCTCAGGCGGCCGCTGTCAGGCTTCTTCGGCTTCCTGCATTCCTTAGGGCTCGCCGGCCTGCCGTCTGCACTTGCTGCTCCAGCGTCTCGCTCGCTTGCTTGCTTGCCTGCGCCACTCTGCGTAGCTGGGGCTCAGATTGCGCATCGCCATTTTCCCAGGCGAGGCCTTTTGTCTGCAGAAATCCATGATTTGTTCGCCTGCTGGGTCATCTTCGGATTTGCTTTCTCGTACTGTTGAAAGCCTCGGCAGAACGATTCTTCGCGCCGCCTTTCCCACAACTGCAGCTTTCGTCCGTTCTGGCAGAGCTCCCCGCGGAGATTCGGTTTCCGCGTCAAGCGTTGCCGTCTCCAAGAACTTGTCTGTGGCGCGAGGGGCCGATGGTCTCGAGTTATTGGCGCTGACGCCATTCAACATGTCACCGTCGCACAGAAGCAAGCCTAGCATGTTGAAGTCGATTTGGTCTACGCCGTCCCCATGACCATTTCCAGGCTGAAAATGCGAAGCCTCGTCCTCGGCAGGCCCCCGAAAAACGTTCACGTGACGACCATGGTGTTGTTGACGCAAAATTTGGCAAGGAACTCCAGGTCGGGAATCTCGACTTGATGGGAAGCCTCTTTGCCGAACGTGTGGGGTCCTCTTATGTTCTCCTCCCCCGCCTTGCTCTTCCTCGTGTTCATGTGGCCGAAGATTTGTCTCCACAAAGTTTGTGAAACAACGCTGGTGCTCTGCTGCAAGAGACGTGGACAAGTGCAGCCGCCGGTGCAAGTCTGTGAGATTGTGCGGGGCGCAAGTGCATATCACTCCGAAAATGCCTCCAGGGGCGCGCTGCTTCCAGCAGTATATTCGGTCCGGCACCTGGTCGTAGGACTTGCCACAAGAAACGGTTTTCGCAGAAAGGATGAACCCAACCCCGCTCCAACGCCGGTCTGCGCCATCCTTGCCCGACAATTCTGTGAGATGGCCCTTCTTCCACTGCGCTGTGTTTTCTGATGCTCATGGTCTGGAAAGCATAATGCGTCGATCTGGTAGTCAGTCATATGACGCAGTAGTTCACATTCTTCAGGTCTGTGAGGCCTTGCCTTGGACATTCCATGTGCCGAGCGTCAGAACCCCTGAGGCATCGCGGCGCCCCCTCTGACCTGCCGCGCGAGTGCTGTTGTTGGCATGGGCGAGCCGTCGCGTTCCGACGATCATCGCGATGTTCCAGGCGTGGCCTTTGGGCGCCCGAAGGGGTAGCCGCCGGGGGCTGGGCCTCTCCTGGGTTCGCGGGGCTGCCTCGTGCGGCCTGCCTGCTTCCGTCCCCGAGATTCCTGCGCGCGGTCCACAATGGTCGCCGCGATGCAGGCGTGGCACTTGGGCGCGCCGAGGGGGGGGCCGCCAGGGGTCGTGGCACTCCTGGATCTGCGCTCCGATTGGGGGATGTCCAAGGCGGCTTGCCCGTGCCTGCCTGCCACGACTTCTCCTTTTCTGTGGTCCAGTGTTCGCTGGCACCCCGCGGCGGAGCCTCCAGGGGTGGGGGCACCTCGGGACGCGCTGTCAGACTGGTTGGATGGCCCAGGCGCGTTGCTTGTTTCTGACTCCCGCATTTTTTGGATCTGTGTGCTCCTCACTCTCCCACTCACTCACTCACCTCCTTCCGCTTTCCCCCACTCGGACGCGCTCA